GAGTGCATTTTATGGTCAAAATCCACCCGACCCACCCAATGCCCACCCCTACCCATAGCGAGTCCAACTATGGAACACCTTAATGCCCGTTTAGGTGACAACTTCTTTCTTTGCTGGTTCGTCGTCAAGCTCAAGGGCTGCTGCAACTCCGACGAAACAGCCCCCTGTACTTCGTTTCGAACCAAAGTTGCAACTCATATCAGCATACTTCTTTGGGGGAACGTTTCAGGTGTTTCCATCTCCAATTTAATTGAGTATTGCGCAGCCCATCAAAAATCAAGTCCTTCCATGGCCACCCTTGCGCAGAAAAAGAAACTTTTTCTGCCCGGAGAGCGCTACGGCTAAGCCTCTCTTCCACATCCTCTCTACATTGGAAGAGAGGCTTATGACCGAAGATCTACTTAATAGAATGGAGAAGGTAACAGATATTTCGAAAGGGTGGCCATGGAAGGACTTGATTTTTGATGGGCTGCGCAATACTCAACTAAATTGGAAATGGAAACACCTGAAACGTTCCCCTAAAAGAAAGTATGTTGAGAGAGTTGCAGCTTTGGTTCGAAAGGAAGTACATGGGGCTGTTTCGTCGGAGTTGCAGCTGCCCTTGAGCTCGACGAATCAGCAAAGAAAGAAGTTGTCACCTAAACGGGCATTAAGGAGTCCCATAGCGAGTCCAATTATGGAACTCCTTAATGCCCGTTTAGGTGACAACTTCTTCCTTTGCTGGTTCGCCGTCAAGCTCAAGACTGCTGCAACTCCGACGAAACAGCCCCCTGTACTTCCTTTCGTACCAAAGCTGCAACTCTCTCAGCATACTTTCCTTTGGGGGAACGTTTCAGGTGTTTCCACCTCCAATTTAGTTGAGTATTGCGCAGCTCATCAAAAATCAAGTCCTTCCATAACCACCCTTTCGAAATATCTGTTACCTTCTCCATTCTATTAAGTAGATCTTCGGTCATTTTATCTGTCCAAAAAACTTTTTCTGCCCGGGGAGCGCTACGGCTAAGCCTCTCTTCCAATGACTGTGGCCTAGACTCTTCATTATTTGTTTGAGACTGGTTTCTACTAGCCTGCTTTTTCCCCGATTGCTCAATGGCTCTTGAATATCACCGGTAATAACTCCGCCGTCAAATGTAAAGCGAAACAGAGAAAACATTTTAACCTGATGCCCTTCGATAGCTTTTGCAAGCTGCTCCAGTGGCTTTAAACTTGTTTTAACATATTCGAAGGCATCCTGCAATATAGCCGATGGATCACGCAAGACCGACATGCTAGAATAACTGCTACCCAGCCCAGCCACAGCCAACTTTCACTCAAGAATACTTCCCAGAAGCTTATGCAGATGAATAGACATCTGAAGTTCCAAGAACTGCTTAGTAGTGTAATCTGAAAGCAATTCTTTTAAGACTTGATAGACAGCCGGATCTGCCAACCGCGGATCCAGGTGGGGTAGCTTAGCCTGCACCTTTATCCGCAAAATGAAAATTCAACATCAGCAATCAAACTTGGTGAAAAGGCAGTAAAAATAAACAAACAAAATTGTCAATTCTCCTCACATACCTTGCCCATTCCTAATGGTACTAGATCTTCAGCTGTAACTGGTGTACTGGAAACAGGACAAACTCCATTGTCCTGGACAAATAAGAATATAAACAATAAATGGAAGAACAGAGAAGAGTCTCAATGAACACTTTTCTTAACAACAGAACAGTTCTTTGTAATTTATGATCCCAAGAAGTAAAAAGGTAGCAAAAACTAGCCAATAATGGATTCTCTCAAAGTCAGGCAAAACTTCAATGAAACCTAGCTACATAAGGCAGACAAAAAAGAAAGGGTATCTCAAAGGCAAACAAAAACGAGAAGGAGGCGATAACCCTATCCATCTAATAAAGGAAATAGTAAGGAGAAGGATAAAGAAAACCTACACTGATGTATTTCTCAATCACACTCTTCTCATAAAGCAATCCGTTTTTACGGTTTGCTACGGCCTCAGCAAGTTCCTCGCCAGTGACTGATACACGAAAAAAGACGGATGATATGAGATGATTGTTGCAATACAAAAATCGAAAGTAAAGGAGTAAAGAACTTACTTGAGCACGCCATTGAAGCTGATCTCGGGTCGGGAAGAAGAAGACAGTGACTCGGGAAACACAGATAGTGCAGGGGAGTACAAAATGATCACCTGGTCTGCTGAAGACATATTAGAGTGTTTCAATAAAGCAAAACTGCAAAAGAAAGGACTAACAATCTAAGGCACTACCAACAATAAGTATAGAATCGAACAAAGCTTCTTAATTACTGCAAGTCTGAAACTTATGAAGTGAAGGGAGTTGAAAAATCAGTATAGAAAGGCCGGACATCAAGCAAATCAAACTAGAGATTGCAAGGCAGAATTCACAACTTATTTAAAGACGGCTTCCGCCATAGATACTAATGCATACACGTAGATTAGCATAGATCCCGAAGGCATGTTATAGTAGTACTTCAGAATCATCAAACTAGAGATTGCAAGGCAGAATTCACAACTTATTTAAAGACTACTTCCGCCATAGATACTAATGCATACACGTAGATTAGCATAGATCCCGAAGCCATGTTATAGTAGTACTTCAGAATCATCAAACAAGAAAGGCTAACATTTGTATATTCATTCACTCTTGCTACATTCAGTTTACCAAAGCAGCCATTGGCCAGATGTCTCTTGTCTATTTCTTTGTCGTTGCTTTTACAAAGTGCCAAACAGGTACTTCAAAATCATCAGAACAAGAAACATATATCCATCCAGCCTTTACAAACATCAAGTCAAATACACGTGACCATTGAAATGACATGACTAGTCTAATCCTTCTACATATATGAGGGTTTCGATTTGTTTAGCACACAGACAAAAAAAGATAAGAAATCAAGAAAATCTCATTCCATGGCTGTGCCCAAACTGGTGCTTTTTCTTGTTGCTAACACTCAGATTGGAATTCATAAAAGAGATTCTAGGGAACAATGCTAGCATTCATTCCACCGCAACAAGACAGAGCCAGGATTAAATTTTCCTCAAACCAAGCTCAATTTTCCAAGCTCCAGTAAAGTACCAAACCCCTGTTGATCTCCCACTAATGAAGACATTTTGGTAGTTTTGGTCAATTCCCACACCCTCATAGCTCTATCCAAACATGGAATTTTGGTCAATTATCATTTGCCAATTCCCAGTTTCTTCTAACGTGGGAATTAAGGCCAATTCCTTGCTTTTTAGATTTCCACAACCAAACGACTCCTAGGTAAAAATATACACATCATCCATTCACCAACACATGCAAAGCTTCACAAAACAACTCCTCTACAGCGGCAACGAGTTTCTAGACAGTAACCAGCTCCACAAAGGAGCATTTACTTCATCACACTTATAACCAAGTCCTCTAAACCCCACCCCTTAGGCATACAAATCTTTCTTTTCAGATTGCTCCAAGTAAAACTAACTATTGTAACATCAAAATTACAATTAGAAATAAAACCAGTCATTTCCTTGCAGCCCAACGAAATAGAACAAGAAAACTTCAGGACACACAATAAGAAAGAAATCAGTAGTTGCTCTCTGAAAAAGCAACACTCACCTGCCACCAGACTGTCGAATGATATCCACCACCACGATGAGCAAGCTGTGTTGGAGCTAACCGATAAAGAAGCAGGGGAAACACAAAGGGAAGGGTCGGCACTGGTTCATGGAACTTTGGTAGAGACAGGCTGAAATCGACGAAAACAAAAGGTAAGATAAGAGCACCCACGATAAGGAAGAGATCAATAGCTCTCCGTAATTAGACAGCAATTACCCACCTCTTTCGCACCCGCGCGCAAGACGGTCGATGATGTGAAGCCGAAAATGAGCAAGGTGCAATGAGCTAAATGGAGAAAGAACGAGGGGAAACAGCAAGGGAAGGGATGGCTCCGATTCAATGAACTTTTACAGGGAGAGGCTTGCTGGAACCGCCGACATTGAAGAAGAGAAAGGAGCTCAGGTGGTTCAATTTTGTCAAGGGGTTGGGCGATTCACGGAAGCCTTCGAAGAAAGGAGCTGAAGTTGCGGCAAGAAAGGACTCACTGGTAAATCGATTTCTCTAATGAGCAAGTCGGTGACAGGAGGATGATGGATCGGGAGTTGATACGAGCTCCATCTTGGGGTATGAAGATTTTTCTTTTAGGGCTTGCACATTGTAGGCGACTGAACGAAAGTGAGAACTCAGTCTATTTTAGAAAGGGTAAATGTCTGATCAATAATTTTTTTTTTTTTTTTTTGCCATAGATATCCCCAAAGGGGAACAGCAGATACGAAATATATAGCAATATACATGACCTTTGCAGGTCAAATCACAAATGAAAAATGAAAAGACCTTTGCAGGTTTGACAATATAGGGCTTTCCTGCCACGATATGGGCTGCACTATGATACCTGAACGGCATGGGCAATATCATGATTTTTTCCCTTAAAAGGATCAATATCATGAACTAACCATGCTGAAAATTGAAGCAGAGCAGCAAACCCTTGTAAATCTGCCATCAGTTCAGCACAAAAACCCGTAAAACCTCCACCGAATATACCACTATCCTGCAAAATAGTTGTAGTAGCTTCTCTGATTTGTTGAAAACAAACAAACCCTTCTTGGCCCTCAATAACAACAAACAAAAAGGAGCCACAATGTCTGATCAATAATTTACTAAAACGTTTCGTATTTAGTTATTGGAAAAAATATAATATTAATTTTGGTCACTCGAATTAGTAAAACAACTCATATTCAGTCATTCTTTGTTAACTTTATCTTATGTGGCAGTCAACCCTAACAGCTGATCGCTAAATGTCTGACGTGGCAATTAAAAAATTAATAAAAAATAAAAGATAATGTTTATTTTTTATTCAAATTTTTTTCAGATTCTTTTATATTATCCAAACCTATTAAAATTCTATTAATTATCCAAATCTTTCGTAATGTATCAAAATATTAGCCATTTTTACATTATTGTTAACAATTTTGTAACTCTTAGTTAAAATACTAAAATTTTGGAATGTTGATCTTCATGAGTCTCTTCCAAGTCAATATCATGTTGCCAAGTCAATATTACTAACAAAATTGCTAATTGGAAGTTAACATTTGGCTAATTTTTAGTATTCCGATAGGTTTGGATAATATAAAAGAATCTGAAAAAGGTTTGGATAAAAAATAGACATTACCCAAAAATAAATTTAATTCTTTTAATATTTTCACATTATTAAAATAATAAACTAAAATAACTAAACCCAAAAAATCACATCCGATGATTACCAATAATTCAATTTACTCTGGAATTATATTAATACTGACTGATATAAATAGAAGTAACTATTATTATATGCAGGTGTAGTATCATCCTACTTTTCTCTCTCGTTGAGCGAGAGATTTGGAGGAGGCGGAAACCCTAGGGTTTTTCCATATTACTTTTCGATTTGCAACTAGGAAAAAGTTTAGGAGGACGAGTCGAGCAAGGATTAGACTTCCTTCTTAGTGTTGGATTGTGTGAGAATCCTAACAAGGAGTTTTCTCGATCAGAGAGAGGTTTCGAAAGACAGAAGCTGAAAAGGGGGAAGGGCTTGTTAAACAAGCAACAACCTGTTTGCAAGGGAAGTTTTAAAGCAATACTTTGGGAACAATGGACAATGACGAGATCATAGAAGCAAACAATACGGTGTAGGGCGAATCGGATGATCTATCAAAACATCCTCCGAGCCTGGAGGAGCATCAGGACAAGATCAAATTAGCTGAAGACGACGAGCCACCATTGGAGGTTGAAGACTCTAACGTGGATGTTGTGAGAATGGAGGCAGTCAGGAAGCTAGAGTTAATAAGCCGTTTGGTGTTTGACAAGCAGCCAAACCTGAAATCGATGAAGATTGCATTAGAGAAGGCGTGGAACCTACGTAAAGGGTTCCAAATCACAGATTTGAAAGACAACCTATTTGCATTTCAATTTCTTGACATGGATGACAAGAATAAGATAAGCTTTGGAGGGTCATGGCATTACGAGAACAACGTTCTAGTGTTCAAGGAGTGTCTACATATCCAGAAACCAAACCCACGGGACTTACATATGATTGATATCTGGGTCCATATAAGGGGTTTCCTAGGGGAGTTGCGGACTCCACAGATGGCGGGTAAAATTGCTTCGAGATTTGGTGAGCTAGTCTGATTTGACGACACAGGCTACCCGTGGGATGAACACATGAGAATTAGGGTTAGTTTATCGATAAATAACCCTATCAAGAAGAAGATTAAGCTTAACATACAAGGCAAACTTGAGGAGAAACTACCCCTATTTTGTTACTCCTCTGGAAGAATAGGGCACCCGAAGCTCAAATGTGAGAAGCCATCGCAATTAGCAATAACCCATATGGGATGGAGATGCGAATTGATGGGCCAGGACATAGAAGTTGGCTTCACGTGTTTCAAGGAAAGGGAGGAGACTAAGGAGGAAATTCGAAGTGGAGAGTAGTAGCTCTAACTTGGATTATGATAAGGCTTCACCTGAAGAAAAGGAGGAGGCTAAGATGAAGATGGGGAAGAAGAAAGAAGGAGATAAGGAAACACAAATGAGCAGGGAGAATGAGAACAGTATGGAGGTGGACAAACAAGTAGAGGTGAAGCAAGCAACTAGAGAGTAGAGGACCTAGAGTGGTCAATTACAAACAAATCTCAACATACAGGAGGAAGCCCTTAAGAGATTTGTGATGGGAAGCTCTGGAACTCAACCGGGGAGAAAACCAACAGGGAGGGTGTGGAGGCGTTAGGAAAAGAATTCACAACGTGTGAAGACAGGAACACAAGTCACACCACAGAAAAGAGCAGGAGCGGAAATCCAAAGGGTGGTGTCCAAGAAAAACAATGGAGAGATGAGCCAGAAAAGGGCCCAAACCCTGGAGCTGGGTGGGAAAGTGGACGACACTGCCTCGATGAGGAAGGTGGAGGTAGAGGCTAGTGCAGGGCAAAAAGGAAAACAGGAAAGCAGGACAGCAGAAGAGGAACTGAATAAAAACACATTGGTTAGCGGAGTGGCGGACCCTGAAAATGTTCAGGGCCGCCCAACCCAATGAATCTCCTCAGTGGCGGATCCAGGGGGAGGCCACCACAGGCCCCGGCCCAGCCCTTCTCTGGACCCGTAGTTAGTATAGTCGTTATGAATTTTTTGATTTTAGGCATTCGGTATAGTGTTATTTTATAATAAGATTGGGTATAACTAGAAAAATGATTCAGATGAACATATTCAAATCACTACTCTAAATTTAGCCTATAAATTTCAGCCCCAAAGATTATGCGTCTAAAAAAACAATGAAACCTAAAATTCTAAAAGTTTAAAATGAAAAATACTAAGAGAAATATGAGGTTTGTTCCCTTAAAAATTTACTAGAGCAGCTGGTGGATGCAGGGATAGACACACAATGCAAATTGATTAGTCGATTGATTTGTCTAGTGTTAATGTTGCTCGTTTCAACAACTACTACGAAGAGAACCTTTTCAACAATGAAACATGCGAGAACTGATTTTCTCAACAAAATGAGCGATGAATTTCTCGTCGATTGCTCTGTAAACTCCATTATTGATGCATTCTCTTAATTAAAATACTACCGGGGACAATTTAAATTGCAAAAAAACTATAATCATTATTTTTTTTTACGGTTCTAATTTTCTAATGAAATGCGGGCCCAGTGCTTCTCTATGTTCTAGATCCGCCGCTGAATCTTCTAAGCTACAACTGCTAGGGATTGGGGAATGCCCTGGCAGTTGGAAAAGTAAAGGCGTTACTGCGTCAAAAGAACTCCGATATCGTTTTTCTGATGGAGACTCACCTCCATGATGGAGAATGGGAAGAAAAATAGAAAGAGTTTGGCTATGAAGGTGGAAAAGGGGTGGTGGCAAGAAGAAACAGAGTTGGTGACCTATTGATGCTATGGAAACAAGGAGTGGAACTGAAGCTAAAAGGAAGATCCAGTAACTATATGGATTTTGAAGTGTGCATCGAGAATCAGCAGGAAATATGGAGGTTAGCTAGGGTTTATGGATGGCATGAAGGAAGCAATAAACTCAAAACTTGTGAGCTGCTGAGATGGTTGCATAATCAGGTGGACAAACCGTGGGTGTTGATGGGGGATTTCAATCTGATTACGGATTATATCGAAAAGAGTGGTAGCTGTAACCGAAATGTTATGGAGATGGAGGAATTAAGAAGAGCTTTAGAAGATTGTGACCTTGAGGATTTGGGATTCTATGAAAGTTGCTTCACTTGGGAAAATAATAGAGTAGAGGAGACCTACACTGAAGAAAGACTGGACATGGTAGTAGGAAACAAGAGGTGGATGGAGCACTACCCCCTAGCAAGGGTGTACCATCTTCCAAGATGCGAATCAGACCACATCCCTATCATGCCCCAGTTGAACCCGGAAGAGGAGATCATTAGCTGGGGGTGGTATTTTCGTTATGAGTCATATTGGCAGAGACATGAGGATTGTAAAAGAATAGTAGAGAAGGGATGGAGGGCTGGATCACCAGAAAGCCTCATGGACAAGGTGAAAAACCATGAGACGAAGCTACTAAAATGGAGCAAGGACGCCTTTGGATCTTTAAAAGAGAGAAAAAAGAGAACTGAACGAGTTCAGGCTAGGTTGGAGAAACAGCCTAGGACCAAAGTTGTCCAAGCACAAAGGAAAGTATTATATAGGGAGCTGGACGAGATCCACCTGCAGGAGGAGAGCAAATGGAGGCAGAAATCGCGACCGGATTGGCTGAAGGAGGGGGCCCAAAACACAGGTTATTTCCACCGTAAAGCGTCAGAAAGAAGGAAGAGAAACACGATAAAACAGCTAAAGGATGCTGCAGGGAAGCTTTTTGTAGGGCATGAGGAGGTCACAAATTGCATGGTCTCTCATTATCGATAACTTTTCACCCCTGAGGAGGAGATACAGACCGATACTATTCTCTCAGTGGTTCAGCCAAAGGTTACAGCTGAGATGAACACTCTAACTGCTACTACCCTTTACTGTTGAAGAAATATGGAATGTGCTAAAACATATGGGTTTTGGGAAAGCTCTTGGTGCAGAGGGGATGATTGTCCTATTTTTTAAGAAAAATTAGGATATAGTGGGGAGGATGTAACATGGGAGCTTACTGGGTATTTAGAGAGTGGCTCTTTTCCAAAAGAGCTAAATCACACCCTTGTTGCACTAATCCCAAAGACAAAAATCCGGAGACACCAGCTAAGTATAGACCGATTAGCCTATGCAAGATTTTGTACAAGATTATGTCTAAAGTATTGGCTAATAGTTTGAAAAGGATCATGAACAATGTGATAGAAGAAAACCATAGTGCGTTTGTACCTGGCAGTACATTACGAACAATGTGATGGTTGCTTTTGAATATTTCAATACCATGAAAACGAAAAAGGTGATCAAAATAGGGATATGGAGGCTAAGCTGGATATCTCGAAGGCCTATGATCGAGTAAGTTGGGGCAATCTGGAAGCCATGATGCTACGAATGGGGTTTGATGGAAGGTGGGTGAACTTGATCATGTTCTGTATAACTATAGTATCTTTCTCCATCCTCATTAATGGCCAGCAATCAGAGGTATTTGAACCAAAGCGAGTCCTTATACAAGGAGATCCCATCTCCTCGTACTTGTTCTTACTTGGTGTGGAAGGGCTTTCAGATCTAACTAGGAGAGCAATTGAGGAGGGTAGGCTGCATGGTTTTCAGGTGTCTAGACGAGGACCTATAATTTCCCATCTGCTGTTTGCTGACGATAGTATATTCTTTACTAGAACTAGCTCAACATAGTGTGAGCAGTTAATGGGTATTCTCAAGATGTACGAGAAGGAATCTGGGTAGAAAGTAAACTTACAGAAATCAGACCTCACTTTCAGTCTGAATGTGCGAGCTGATCAGAGAGTCAGGTTGGCAGGAATACTAGGGATGAAGCAAGTCGAGGAACATACTAAGTACCTAGGGCTGCCAACTATCATAGGCTGGGAAAAGAAGTAAGTTTTTGGGGTATTGGTAGACAAAGTCAGGAAAAATATTAAATTGTGGAAGGGTCAGAGCTTATCAAATGTAGCCAAGGAAATTCTAATAAAAGCGGTAGCTCAAGCTCAAACAACCTATACTATGTCGGTGTTCCTCGTTCCAGATGTGGTATTGGAGGAAAAGACAACGAACAACCACTCATTGGTAACCACCCAAAACCGCTTGTGTTTCGAGATTCTAGTCGGAAAATACTGGAATGCGCATGAAGAATAAGCGCCTCAGCTAGGATAACGTGGGCCGTCGTATTGAGTGGATATGGCAGGCCCAGACGAGCAAGCCCAGAATATAAATTCAGACTTATGCCACGAAGCGGACCTGAAATACCCGCCCGAACAAGACCTAGGCCTAGACACTAGGGATGGCAATTTCGACCTGACCCGTTTTACCCGATTTGTTTGACCTGTTTTGGGGCGGGTCCGACCCGCCCCGTAGGCGGGGCGGGGCGGGCATGGGTAGTCTCATCGACCCGACCTGCCCTGACCCGCCCCATTCTCGACCCGTTCTTGTCTAAATTACATGAAATCTTAGTCAAATTACTTTGAATTTTACTTTTATCGCATCATATTTTAGCTATAATAAAGTTGTAAATTAGTGAAAACCTCAATTTCTCCAATAATTTAATTACAATTGTCATAATATTGTTTATTTTCTTAGTTTTATAATAAAAATAACGAATATTTTTAATGTTTTTCAAATAAATTGCACACCCATTGGGTCGATCTGCCCCGACCCGCGACCCGTGATCAATTACCCGACCTGGACCCGCCCTGCCACGGGGCGGGTCTGGGTACCAAAAAACCCGCCCCGGACCTGCCCATTGCCATTCCTACTAGACACATTACCATCCATGAATTCCTAATCCTAAGCGTATTAACCTAACAGCCGCCGCCGTCGTATATTCGTGAAGGCATCGTGTTCGTGTACTAAAGGATTAAGATGTCTTTCTCCTTGTACCCAGACGGCCGGCGTCATACTCCTTCAATCCGTCTGCGTAGGCCATGCCAATGGAGAAGTACATCTCTGTTTTAGATCAGTCGCACCGTTTCCGAACACGACTACGAATCAGTTCAGAAGCACCCATGACGATCAACAGACTCGGGGAGGATCTCCTCGTTGAAATTCTGATCCGCGGCCTCCCAAATCCTAGATCCGCCTGCCGGGGCAAGCTGGTCTGCAAGCTGTGGAGCTCCCTGATCTCCAATCCTCGCTTCAACCGTAATTTCGTTTCTTACCACCAGATCACGAACCAGTTGAACCACCCACCCATGCCGAGCGATCCATACGAGCTGCACTTGATCATCCGCAACTTTCTTCCTCCCATGCCTAAGCAAGTGTCAGACACTATTACAGTTTTGGACTGCAACCAGGACTTGGTTCTATGCGGATTTTGGGATGTGGATCCCTACCAGGTAAGGGAACGTAGCAGATCTTACTTGGTCTGCAATCCGTTTACGAAGCAGTGGATTGCTCTTCCTTTAGCGCCCGTGTCGAGGAGGTTCAAGACAGAGGCGAAGTTAGTTTGTGAACCTCATATCTCTAATAAGCTTGATCTAGGAGATGGCCAAGCGTTTGTTTATTCCGAGTATCGCCGCTTCCGAGTGGCGTGTTTGTATGAAAACTCGGGCTTAAAACTAGATGTGTTCTGTTCCGAGTCTGGAGAATGGTCTGAGGAGGCTCTTGTCTGTGCTGGTCGTCAATATAGACCTGCACCAAGAAGTCTCATTTCGTGCAATGACGAGTTGTTTTGGATGTATTGTGATAACAGGTTCAACATTTCGGTGGCTAGGTTTAATCCTTTCTGCCTTGATACGCCTCCCACTTGTATCGATACTCATCCTGCATTTCCGCCGGATGGGTGGATTATTTCCAGCGCGCAAAGTGCGCTGCATGTAATTGCACTAGAAAATGTATCGGCAGCTATTCGTTGCAGCGTCTGGAGACTGGAAGACGATGGTAAATCTTGGAGGAAACTCCGTGAGGGGCTTGTTAACAAGACATCGGCGTCAGAGTGTTGTGACTACAAAGTTGAGGATTCTTATTTTTGCCTGCATCCACACGATCCCGAAATTGTTTTCTTTCACTCTGCTGCGGGTGATAATAAGTATGCTATATTGTGCTTCGATTTGAGAAGGGAAGAGTTAGAGTTGTTTGCAACATTAGAAAGTGTGCTTGATTGCAATCGCCTTCGCGTGTTCCAGCCAAGGTATTCCTGCTGGCCGATTCCGATTCCAAGGCACGAGGAGTTGCAAGGCAGGTATGATGGGACCGACAGCTTTTGGACTCCTCCCATCCCTCCATCCCTCATCAACTGGTAATTGCTCCTCCTGCTTTTTGCCATGTCTGTTAGGTTTAGAACCGACACCTGTGGATGATTTTATTTGCTTGCTAATGTTGTGTATGTGATGTCTGTTAGGTTTAGAACCGACACCCATTGATGATTTGATTTGCTTTGCTTTGCTTGCTAATGTTGTGTGTATGTGATTTTGTTTCTCTTTTCAGCATGGATCGTGTTATGAAATCGGCCTTTTACAAGGACTACATAGAACATGTCACTGCAAAGGCAACTGTGCACATGGTGGCCGAAGTCATTAAGCACAGGCTGAAGCGAATCGGTGGCAAGTCTCCTCCAATATCTCACAATGAATTGGATGTGATGGGAGCTGATTTGGCAGATGTTGAAGCTGATATAGCCATTCTTGGCAAACAGATAGAAAAACTGCAGAAGGCACTTGTTCACCAAACAGCAGAGCTCCCTCATCTTCCTCCATGTAAGTACTTATTATTTTGAGCTTCTCTTGGTCTAATGAGGTTCTGATTCTGTTCTTTACCCTTTTCAGGCTCCAACCAAAGTCTCGTCGGGCGGGAGCCATCTCGTTGGAGAGTGAAGCATATTCTGGGACTCATCGCACGTGCTCTACATCTTCGTAAACATAACTTGTAAAAACCCACATTCGGTCTGGTCGTCTGGACTTTCATCTCTTGTAATGCGAAACCACCAAATCCTTCAATTCCAATCGTAAGTCCGACGTTTCTTGTCAAATGAGTGAAGGAAGATCTACGATTAACAGAAATGATTGTCAGATAGTGTGTAGGTTGCCGTAGGAAATCTTTCAGCAGCTGGCTAGGTATAACCCAAACATGGAAGTGCACTTGCAACAACCAAGCCATCCAACGTCATCCTCGCCGGTTTTTACACCCTATTGGACAGCAAAACTGAAGAACACGGAAAACTGCAGAACCCAAAATGACCAACCTTCCAGTTAGGAAGATTCAACACCGGAAACCTGTATGCCTGTGAATCCAAACAAAAGAAAACCGCCCGCGCAAACTCTGTACCACAACATATTCTATCTACCTTTTTCCCTCTTTAACCCAGAATTCCTCTATGTACTCTACTCCATCCACAGAAATGGGGAGAAACAAAAGAGAAGGAACAACACTTTCAACATTTGTTCTGCTTTTTCCCATTGTAAATGAATCAAGAAGACGAGACAGCGGGGCCTGGGACCGAGGTGGAACCAGATGAAGAGGCACTGGCTTCGCCTACGAGGTTCTTCTGTTTCACTAACGACGCGGGCTCTGAAACATCCCAGATATCCAAAGAATCAGGGAGAGGAATGTCAACCTGCAGGAAGACAAAGAAAACAAAACATAAAGTACTTGTCAACTACCAGAAGCAGAAGCAGAAATCACCTCATAAATTCCACAAAAAGAGACTATATTCGTTAGGTCTTAGTATATGCTGAGATTCAATGGTAGCCTAACCAATTGCTAAAGAAGCTGCAAACACTAAATAAATTACACCGCCGCTGGAAGGGAAAAGTTAGAAGACAAGACACCATGGTTTACTAAACCCTACCTTGCCGGCCGGTTCAACTGGAAATATAGGGAATCAGACCCCAAATTATAGGCGATTTTACCGGTACGACATGCCTGGATCATCGTTAAACCACAATTTTAATACAAAATACCTATCACTGACATTTCCGGTACAACTTCCGGTACTATTTCACAATCCTTGCAAGAGACCCAAGTAAACACTTCAAAGTTTTCTACCACTTACTAAGAAAAAAAATGATGGAAGAAACCTACAAACAGTTATGGTAGGTCATACACAAAATCAGCCTTTCCCCTTTTAACTTCCTGATCTAAAGAGAATAATCCTTTCCTCTTCGCATTCACTGCATAACATACCTAAATTACAGCCTTCAAGCCTTCAGAAAATATAAGAAAATTATAAACAAAAATGAGAAGCTAGAATTTTTTTTAACAGGATGGATCACAGCTTTGGTAGAGATAAACAAATACAATAAGTGAAGAGAGATGAGTAAGTAGACAACCCATCCATACAAAGTAAACTGCGAAAAAAGAGCGAGCAAATATAAGAAATAACAATTAAAAAAAGAGCAAAACAGTGAAAATGTACAGAGAGCAACGTATAAGTCGGATAATCAGAGATTGAGCAATAAACCAAGCTAAATCAGATCCTAACTTAAGCATCAACCATGTAAGATGAGATAACTACTACTGTACCAGAAAGTCAGTACCCGAAGCCAAGAGCATCCGACATTGAACGCCTACTAAGGAGCAGAAACCATTAACGGTTGGTTACTCTTCACTTACCTCAAGCTGGTTAAGCATGTCAATTGTGTTTTCCAAGTCTCCATTATTAGCTGCATACACATCCATAAGTGATTCAAAAGATACACCAGGAAACGTCATCTGTAGAAATTCCAATTCAAAGTCAGAAACTTCATCCATAATTTGCTTTTCGGTTCTTCCATCCTGCTGCTGTGATAATGAACCATAGACTCCATTCCCATAATGGCTTTCGGCTGAAGTAATTGGAGAAGCTTTCCCATGCTGCCTGTTCTCAATGGCATACCCAGGTCCATACCACACGTTTTGATTGCCACTCTGCGAAGCTTTTGCAACCACCCCTGGAGATTGAGTATGTTCAACTACTTCCCTCCTAGAAACAGGTATATACGAAGCTGCATATGGGTTCAAACTAGAATTTCCTGGCTTCATTGCTACAATGGAGAAAAGGAACCACTGAGAATCAAGAACAAACAAAAAGAAAATGAAATTAAACAACATAAGCAAATGTGACAGGATTTCAGCTAGGAAATTCATGATTCGCAGAAGTTCAAAAGGAAAGGTTCTGACTTCTGAGTACAAGGAAAATGGAGGAGAATTCAAGACTGACGAAATCATCATTTACTTTGATTATACCAATGCTTATTTACTATCCAGCTACAGCCAGGACAGTATCCTTAACACTCAAAAGACAAACAGATCGAGAAAGATCAGCAGGGAGTTCTGAAGTAAGATTTTCAAAGTTAACCACTACAACTACACAGTCAAATCAACCCGCCATGGTCACGGAGCGTTAAAGCAATGGCAGGAAGCTAGCTACTTAAACCCTTCTTATCCATCCTCATCAATCATTCAGTCACTAATATCTGCTGAAACTAGCAAGATAGCCAAAAGAATCTCAACTGCAATCATACAATTGAAGGCTAGCAGTTGAAGAAAGCAGTCTCCATAACAAGTTTCTTCAACCTTCAGAGTAACTTTACCGAAACAAAATACGATTCAACTAAACACCACACACATCAATCATACAGTGAAACTATAAAAAAGAAAAATACACTGTACAAAGAAACAAGCGAGAGATCGCCTTTACGATTCATTTCTCATACTCGTAACCCTACTTTACATTACGTATCCACCGCGGGAAATTCGAAACAAGATCAGACTGGATTCCGATTCCAAACAGCAGAGATCGATGAGCGGAGCACGCCGTTCTAACAAAGACGGTTGTTTGCTCGCAGATGTACCTCGACAGCGAAAGCGCGAGAATGTGGAAAGATCGCCGGGAAACGAAACTGGAATTGGAATTCTTTTCCTTCACGTCCTAGAGTTGGTCGTTCCGATCGGTTGAGCGCCGGTGAGAGCTCGGTTTCTTCTCCAGACGAGCAGGGAGCAACCGAGCATTTAAAGGAGAAGAAATGATCGAGAACGAAATTGAAAAGAAAGGCTTCTCAAAGATACGACCATCCACGGCCGTTTATTAGATCGCCTTTTGTGGGTCTGTTAAGTGTTAAGTGACGGCAGGTTTACGTGTAAGGTGTAACCCGACTAACCCCCACAAGATTCGTGTCTATGCGTTTTATCTATTTAAAATTTTTATATTCGTACTAGCATTGAACCCGCACGTTGTGCGGGCGAGTTCCATCTTTTTATCAACACTAATCAATTTTATTTCAGTATTTTGAAGATTTTAATGTTCCATCTTTACTTAATCGGCATCAGGCTCTTCCTTTCAAGCGGGTGCTTCATTCCCTTATTAATCTTATGATCTGTTGAGTGCTTGTGCACCCGCGTGGGTGTGCTTGCTTCCAAATAAGATGTAGTAAAATGATAAAGAATAAACACATGTCTCAAGTAACGAAGACTAGCTAAAGAAGCAATCATGCCCCTTTTATCCAGCGCCTGACGCTTGCATTCTTCCGTTCTTCATCAATTATTTCCCAAGTGACCACTTTTTCATCTTAGAGGATGCGCCTACACTCGTGTTAGAGGATTCAATCTATCTTGACGATCATATGAAATTGAAACAAACTTGTCAGTTTTCCTTTGAACACCCTGTGCCTTGCCCATTTGAAACGAGCGCCTAGCGCTCTTTTCCCATTTTCTTCTTTTTGCCAAAAGATACCAATGATATTCAAATACTTTCCATTCATTGTCTGAGATGCTACATTTTTCTTTCGATTACTTGTGCTCTTGTAGAAGAGTGCTTGCTTCGATTCTTTGGCTAATCACTTGTCACCCAGCTTGTCGTTAAGACCCAAACTCAACGAGATGTCTGGCGACTCGCTCCTTTGCCGAGGTGTATGACCTTCAGTTGGGCGCCTGACACCTCACTGAAGAGTGAGGTGCCTGACCTTCAGTGGGGTGCCTGGCGCCTCACTCCTTCGCTTATGTCTTTGATAAGCATTTGTCATCCAGCTTGTCGTTTGTTACCTTAAGACACAAAGTCAACGAGGTGACTGGCGACTCGCTCATTTGCCAAGGTCTATGACCTTCAGTTGGGCGCCTGGCACCTCACTCCTTCAGCGAGGTGCCTGACCTTCAGTGTCACTACTCTTCTTGTAGACCTTCTCCAAGTATTATCCGAGGTGCCTGACCTTCAGTTGGGCGCCTGACACCACACTACTTCGACGAGGTGTCTGACCTTCAGTGGGGCACCTGGTGACTCGCTCCTTTGTCGAGGTGCCTGACCTTTGATACGGCGGCTGACACCTCACTCCTTTGGTGAGGTGCCTAGCGACTCGCTCCTTTGCCTAGGTGTTGACATTTAGTTGGGCGCCTGTCACCTCACTCCTTCAGCGAGGCGCCTGGCACCGCACTCCTTCAACGAGGTGTCTAACCTTCAGTGGAGCGCCTGACACCTCACTCCTTCGGCGAGGTGCCTAACCTTCAGTGAGGCACATGGAGACTTGCTCCTTTGTCGAGGTGTCTGACATTTAGTTGGGCGCCTGACACCTTACTCCTTCAGCAAGGTGTCTAACCTTCAGTTGAGTGCCTGGAGACTCACTCCTTTGCCGATGCTACCCCCTTGCTTCAGGTAGCTTATTTCGTGCCTAATTTTTTGCAAGCGCTACCCTCCCTTCCTAGGCGCCACCCTTTACAATTTTTGAATTAGGGATTGCGATGCCGTGTGTCCTCTTCTTCAATCGGGGGAGACGCCTCTGCGCCCTTGTCTCTAAAATTATTGATCCTTTTCAGGCAACGCTCCTTCCATCCGCTAGGCGCCTTCGGATCTCGCGTAGGTGAGTTCCGCTTTGTTTTTCCTAGGCGCCACCCTTTACAATTTTTGAACTAGGGGTGGCGCCGTCGTTTGCCATGTGTCCTCCTCTTCAATCGGGGGAGGCGCCTCCGCGCCCTTGTCTATAAATTGTTGGCCCTTTTCAGGCAACGCTCCTTCCATCCGCTGGGCGCTTTCGGATCTCGCGTAGGTGAGTTCCGCTTTGTTTTTCCTAGGCGCCACCCTTTACAATCGGGGGAGGCGCCTTCGCGCCCTTGTCTCTAAAATTATTTGTCCTTTTCAGGCAACGCTCCTTCCATCCGCTAGGCGCCTTCGGATCTCGCATAGGTGAGTTCCGCTTTGTTTTTCCTAGGCGCCACCCTTTACAATTTTTGAACTAGGGGTGGCGCCGTCGTTCGCCATGTGTCCTCCTCTTCAATCATGGGAGGCGCCTCCGCCCTTGTCTATAAATTATTGGCCCTTCTCAGGCAACACTCCTTCCATCCGCTGGGCGCCTTCGGATCTCGCATAGGTGAGTTCCGCTTTGTTTTTCCTAGGCGCCACCCTTTACAATTTTTGAACTAGGGATGACGTCGTCGTTCGACTTTTCTTCAATTGGGGGAGGCACCTCTGCCTCCTCGTTTCTAAAATTATGTATTTTCTCATGTGTCGTTCCTCCATTTGCTGAGCGCCTCCGGAGCTCGCGTAGGTGAGTTCCGCTTTGTTCTTCCTAGGCGCCACCCTTTACAATTTTTGAACTAGGGGTGGCGTCGTCGTTCGCCTCTTCTTCAATTGGGGGAGGCGGCTCTGCCTTGTTTCTACAATTATGTATTTTTTTCTCAGGTGTCGTTCCTTCCATTTGCTGAGCGCTTCCGGAACTTGCGTAGGTAATCTCTGCTTAATCTTTCTTAGGCGACACCCTTGCGAAACTTTGAACCAGGGGCGGCGCCATCGTGTGCCTTTTCTTTAATTGGGGGAGGCGCCTCCCCGTCTTTGTTACAAGATTTTTCTTTTTCTGAACTCTCTTGCTTGTTTGAGCGCCACCCTCCGAGCTTTTGTTAGGCGCTGTGTTTAAGCTTCTCATTTTCCCGACAGTTGCTCTATCAGGAGACTCTGCGCGCCACCTCCTCCTTTGTTTGAACGCGCTCACCGAGTGTTTGTTTGTTTCCCTGCTCGAGCGGTGCTTCCCCCTCTTTCGTCTTATTCTTTATTTGCGATGTAGGTTTATCCGTTTCAAGGCGTCTAAGGCGCCTTTCCTCCTAAGGTTACGGGGCATAATAGCGGTTTTTTGCCCGCGCGTTACCTGCTTCGGCGTTGCACCCGGTTCTCCTCCAAGACTCGCTTTTCTGCCCACCTCTCTCTCTTTGCCATGGCGTCTAATAACTCGCAGCCATCAGCTTCTATGGGTGGCGCCTCCGCTCCCTCTAAAGGGAAAGCTAAAGCTTTGAGGGTAACATGTCCAGTGTGGAGCTCGAGCCTGAAACGGGCAAATTTCGAGCTTCTGACGACCCCGACTACTGCGTTTTGCGATGGCGTGGCTGAAGTCTCCTCACGCGTACCCTTGAAAAGGAGGTGACGCGCTTAGGCTTCTCCTCGACGGAGGAAGCGAGCTTGAGTATCCCGTGCGTACCCTTGAAAAAGTGGTAACGCATTTAGGCTTCTCCTCGACGGAGGAAGCGGGTTTGGGTGACCCCTTCTGTCAAGGCAGGAATGTTTTGCGAGGGATATGGACAAAATATCGCCTCTCATGGGGACTCGTAAAACGAGCGCCCGACACTTGGATAAAAATCCACGTGTAAGCACTAGGGCTCTTCCGCTAGTCGCGGGTAAAGGCTTTGCCAAGATGAATATCTTGAGCAAGAATCGATTTCTCCTACGCGTACCCCTGAGAAGGAGGTGACGCGCTTAGGCTTCTCCTCGACGGAGGAAGCGAGCTTGAGTATCCCGTGCGTACCCTTGAAAAAGTGGTAACGCATTTAGGCTTCTCCTCGACGGAGGAAGCGGGTTTGGTGACCCCTTCTGTCAAGGCAGGAATGTTTTGCGAGGGATATGGACAAAATATCGCCTCTCATGGGGACTCGTAAAACGAGCGCCCGACACTTGGATAAAAATCCACGTGTAAGCACTAGGGCTCTTCCGCTAGTCGCGGGTAAAGGCTTTGCCAAGATGAATATCTTGAGCAAGAATCGATTTCTCCTACGCGTACCCCTGAGAAGGAAGTAACGCGCTTAGGCTTCTCCTCGATGGAGGAAGCGAGTCCAGGAAGACTCCATTTGTTTCTCTATGATCACTTTCCGCAGTAGTGAATTTCCATTTCCTTTCTAGGAAGGCGGTGTCATCAGCTTCGAACGCTTCTTCTTCTGGTGAGGCGCCTACACCCTCCCGTGGGGAGTTCATGGGTGGCACCTCAACTTCCTGCATCTTTCCTGGGAGGCGCCTGGTCGTTGGCCTTGGTGAGTGCCGTCAACGCGGTCATGACTTGGTCTAGTTGGCCTTGCATGCTCGCCATTTGAAGTGTTTGCTTTTCCCGAAGCTTTGCTAGCTGGCCCTCCAGGCACTCCGTGTCTTCTCTGTCTCCCAATGGATCGTCGTCGTCGGATGCTTCCAAACCTTGGATGGTGAGTGGTTGAGGGTTGATAGCCTCGCGACCAACAACTTGCTTGAGAGGGGTCTTCGTAGGTGCTGGACTCCTTTCTTCTCCCTTCTTTGAGTTGGAAGCGTCTTTCAAAGTCATGCTTGGCCCCACGGTGGGCGCCAATTGTTTGAGCCCAATCGACTGGGGGTCGCTCGGGTCCAAGGGGTTTGGGGTGTCAGCCATGACCTTGAGGGGGTAGGCGCCCCGCCTCGTCCGAAGTAGAAAAAGAGAAGAAGTATATAGAGAGAGAAAGTAGAGAGAAGTTAGAGTAAGAGTAGATAGATTGCCATTTATGAGGAGAGAACTCCTATTTATACACATTTGGGGGTTAGGTCGTGGTCTAGGCGCCTGCCAAGCCATAAATGCAGTGGTCGGGCGCCTCAGACTCTCTGACACTGTACATTGTACTTTTGGCAGGGGGTGTCCCCCTGCCCCTAGTCCTTGCTGATGTAAGGTGCCTGGACTTGTCTCCTTGTCTCTTGGCCTTGTCTTTTTCCCTTTGTCTTCTTTTCTTCATTATGTCATTAACTAGGCTCTTGCCTTGGGGATTGCTAATGTACCCTATCAATTGCCCCTTTTGGCGATGGCGCAAGTATTGCGGTATCGTCAAACCAGTCTGTCCTCTTCTGACACTGTACATTGTACTTTTTGGCAGAGGGTGTCCCCTCATACTCTGTCTTTGCTGATGTCAGGTGTCTGGCTTTGTCCCTTGTTCTTGTCTCTTAACCTTGTCTTCTTCTTCTGATGATGTAAGTCTTCTAGGGTTTTGCCCCTATGTCTTGGCTTCTCTTGGACTCTTCTTGTAGACCTTCTCCAAGTATTATACTTTACCTTCATACCCTATCAGTTTCATTCTAAAATTTTTGTAATTTCAGTATTCAAAATTTTGTAAAGGTATTAGTGTTTTCCAACATTCGTAAAATTTATAAGTTTAGCTTGTGCTTATAATCTAATCTTTTTATGAGTGGACATCAAAATAATCTCAATTTTCGAAATTTCAATTCTATTGGATATGTGTTGTATTTGGAAGATTATATTACACAATTTTGCATAGTCATATCACTATATACATATTTTCTCACATTAAGATAGTTGGCATAGCCGCATAGCTTTCAAAATGATAATAAAGAGCTTTTGTTTAGAGTAAAACGAAATGCATGAAAGGTTATATTGAAAAAGTTTGTGGTAAAGTGTTTTGTACTGAAATCGTGTTGAGCCATAGTTTAGTCGTTTCCTACCGTTAAAATTACCTATCAATTTGGATCCAATATCCAGTATTTTCGATCCAACCGACATGCTAGAATTTCTTAAACGTTGTTAAAAAAAAGTAGAAGAGTTTTCTAGGTGAAAGAGAAAAAATTCCTTAATTCTACCCAAACCTGAATTACCGCAGGAGAGATATTAAAATATTATAAAGATAATTAACTATCAAACTATGGAAGAAAACTAAATGACCAAAAAAAACCTACACGGAAAAAAAATTCCACAAAATATGGTAACTACCCGACATTAAAAAAATAAGAAAAACGGGAAAAACCGAAAGATGCGGAGGAAGCTCCATGGCTGACGTGGAGGGGGTCATTTTATGAAACCCCTTTAATATATTTAAAGATTATTTGATTTTTTCTCATTCAATTGATGGCTCCATATGAACATATATAAAACCCATATAATATGTTTAATATATGAATTTAATGAATTAAATTGCTTATTTAAATATTATTTCAATATGATAGTTTGATATAGATGCTTTAAAAATCACTAGTAAATGGAGAATTATACGACGGCGCGATGTCGTCCTATCCTAAAGGAAATGAAATACGAGACAATGGATTAAGTGAAGCACTGAAGTAAAACAAACCTCGAGAGGTAACAACAATGGCGCTTCTCTGCTCTCTTCCCCCATGGGCGACAACATCTTCTATTAATAATGATATTTTCATCACACAAAACACACGCCTTATCTGAAATCGGATGAACAAAAAGTGATTGAACGTGGCATTGATGACATATATATTGAACAATATTTGTGTTCCTAGTTTTGCCAAGAAAAGTGTTATGCGATACTATAAGAATTTGAAATCTAATCGCAACTCGTTGCAAGTAGTATGCGACGAAATGTTATTTTGTAATTATATTGTAGACTTTTTATTTTGTTTAGTCAACTTTTCATCATGAAGTTTTTTTTATTATAGGAAGAATACACTCCCTTCACTAATTTTCTGGCTCCAACACCGAATACAGTCCAACCAATTTTTGAGAGAATACAGTCTCACACTCCTACCAATTTAAGTTCACCCGCTTAGTTGTGGGTGGGCGAATTCGTTCCTAAAATACACATTTTAAACAATCACAGTGAAATGGAATTCATGCCATAAGAGGAGGGAGCGAGACGTGGGTTGAGGGATGGGGGGGGGGGGGGGGGGGGGGGGGGGGGGTGAAGAACGTACGTAGACACTGTTGGTGATGACAAACTAGCCTAGATTATAGACAAGCTCACACATTTCCATGAGCTAAAGAATAAACGGAATATATGTACATCTTTCTATCCTCGTATCGCGGCTACTACCAACCAGCCAACTGCTATTTACCACGCTCTCGAGAACCCTTTTTAACTGCTCCAATCGAGAAACCTGCAAAACTACGGCGATGGTGTGCAGCTAGTCCTGTGAGGTTGCGGAATACTCGAAAAGGAGGCGCTTCGAAGGAGCAGACTGCAGAAGAACACGCAACCGACTGGTGAGCTGGTAGATGAGTGTCCATTGCATGGCCATTTCGGAGTCTTTCATCTGCCTCACAATCGACGCCTGCCCAGAGATGGAAGGAATTAATATTGTTAGACTCCGGGCCTAGGGCTTCAAATCTCACCATTTAGGAAGACCAAACTATGTCGGATCTTAGCACAAAACCTGTTTTTTTAAATTATGGTTTTACAATTCGATCTTAAGATTAACATCTTATACTAGTTTTTGGATTTATGCAAAGCCACGATTTGGACAGTCATCAAACAAGACACAGAAACACTCGGGTCAATCAGACAATAAAATGATAATGAAGCTCAGCAAACAAAAGTGGAACTTAGAATACCTGTAAGCGTTTCCCAAGCTGGACCTCTACTTCTGTACCAAAGGATATGTTACTGGCTAGCGATTTCAAAGGATCAACCATCGGATCTACAGAAAGCAGACTTGGGATCTGGGGAGCATAGACTAGCCTCCATCTAGCATGCCCAAACTCTCCCTTCCCTTCAATCCTTGGCATCAGGGTTTCAAGTGTCGCAGTAGCAAGCTTCTTGAATGCAAGTTGGCCATCACCCTCCAATATGGATTCTGCCAATTGACTCTCGAAAACTCTAGCAGCCTGTTGAATGATACCAGAAATAAATTATAAATCAATTCCTACTCTTTTGTACAAGCCATCAGTAAGGGTTCCGATTTTCAGTTCACCTCAGTAGGAGAAAGAGCATCCTGTTCCATAGATCTTGTTGAGGTCACGACCAGTTTGTCCTGCCAATTGCTTGCTCTGCTTTGGATCCTGAATTGCCACTCTGATCCAACCAGAACCAAATCCAGCATAGGATCTAAACCATGCTCTGGCTCAAATTTTGCAATATTTAGATGCTCTCGTTTAAGCCTCACCTGTATTAATGAATGAGTTGTCATAGGCGGATAATTTTAAGGATTTCTAGCAGTATAGAACAGATTATGTAAGTACTCACTTGAGTTGCAACAAGATTAATATCGCCATTTTCAAATGTCAGCACGCCCCTAGGTTTGATCAACTTGGGATGAGCTGGACCATTTAGCTCCAGCTCCCCACTGACAGCGAAATTGAGAATCAGAGGATACACTATTCTCAGCTCTGGTCCCAACATAAGCTTCAAGTCAGTAAGGCGAATATCAACATTTGGTTTGACATTCACTTGCTCCAAATCCTTCTCAACTTGAGTTGATTTGACTGTAATAGCAGGAAACCAAACAACCTTAATAATGGGCATAGCTCCACCAAATTTGCTAACCATAACAATATTAATATATCAAAGCAAATAACCTATGTCCTTTTAGAAGACATGGTCTATGAAAATTAGCATAGACTGCAGTTCGAAGTCTCAAACCATGGATTTGGGCCAAGTTGACCTAAAAGCTGAAACAATCACACTTCTTTGACCTAACTTTTCAGTTTACTACAAGAAATTCTCCAATAAGAAAGTTAAAAACAAGCAAGGAGCACATACCAGTGTGCTGAGCGAACTTGGTCCCTGAAGCAGGTTCCGTACCAAAAAAACGTGATACATATCTAGAAGCAGCTGCTAGATTGACACCACCAGGTAGTCTTGCTGGGTTAGATGCTAGTCTATTAAACGAACTAGCTCCACTACCTCTATCATGTGGAAGATACGCTTCTCCATGGCTCAATTTGATGTTTCCGGAGATGTTAGGTTGCAGTATGGAACCTGTCACTTGCATCTGAGTGTCAACCTGGCCACTGAATTAATCACAAAGATTTAGTTTTGCAGCCAGTTGATGAAGGAAATAGACAAGCTTTAGAAAAGAAACAGTTAACACTGGAAGAAGAACAGATGGCAAGCAAGGGGATCGACTATCTTACCTTAAAACGTTCTTTGCTCGGACTTCCAGGACTTCACATTTCAATTCAATCTTATCATCAGTGGAAGCTTCACTTGTTCGAAGAGGTAAATTACCTCTAATGAACAGCTTCCCTTTCCTGCTAACCCTGCTCTCTAATGAAGTGATGCACAATCTGTTTGACTTTACGTGCACTGAACCACCAAGGTTTGTGAGTGGCTTCCTAAGTACGGGTGAAGATATAGATGCCCTATGGAATGTAGCAAATCCATCCACCACAGGTTGCTCAACAGTTCCTCTGACCTAGTTTTTTTAAACATGTGAACAGTTGTACATCAGTCTCAAAGCATGTACTTTAATCGGATCACTTACAGAAAGCGGTTACTAACACGTTACTGAATTTTGGTTTTTAACAGACTTGTTGCTCAAGTTTGGAATAACTAACGTAACATAAAAGCCACTTCTTCCTTTTTCGTAAGTTTTTTCACTAGTCATCAAGATTAGTCTGTCAACTCCCAAATAAATCATAAGAAAGCACATAGACCCTAATTAGCAGACACGAAGACCCACTTCACCTCATATCCCATCCAAATCCAACCCTTATTGCCCAAAATCACCTAAATCCCTTCCTATGCATGCCTGACCACTAATTATAGAGTATGTTTTTGTTGCAAATTAGGGTGACTTGACACTAATCCAGACAGTTGGATGAAAACTTGATGGAGATGGCCAGTGTAACTGTTTCAGCAGCTATTCCAAGCTTCAGTGACAAAATCGTCAAAAATCAAAGTTCCGTAACCAACTTGCTAGTTGCCCCCAAGTTCAGTAACTGTTTATGAAATTGACAATTCAAATGATAGTAGAACAAACAAGTAATATGATTAGAATCGATCTGGACTTTAACCAACCTCAAGCATAATATCAGCACTGCCATGAACCCAGTTAGCATAAGGAGATAAAGCTGTCAACAGCATCATTCCCCCATCCCTGATATCAGCATCAACCCTAACTTCTCCGACATCCAAGAAATTCCAACTCAAAACTTTAAGACTTTCTGCTAATTGAGAATTCCAACCATCTTCACTTCTATCTCTGAATAGTTTCTTTTCGATGGCTTCATCAGAAGAGCCCCTTCCCCTTTCCTTGGCCCAACCAGGAAACCAAGTTGCTCCACTGTTATCCGTCTCAGTATCTTCTTCTTCCAAGTTATTTTGCACAAACGTAAGAGGTATACTTCCTTGTATATGCACATGACCATTCTGTACTATTGGTTCGAATTTGGCATTGAACAAAAATCGGCTAGTTGAAGTTAGAGATGCCACAACTTCTGCTCGACCCAAATCAATGCCTCCAATAGCACCATCTAAGAGCCTTACTTGCACATCACATTCCGGTTTAGACAAACTTCCTCTCAGATCTCCTTCCATGTGCAATATACCCCGGATTGGAGCTAACAGTTGTCTCAATGAATGAACAGTATCTGATGCTGAAGACTCAACTACCTGAACCAAAGTAGGAACCAGACTGACAGGGAAGTTTAGGACAGCGAAATGCAGACTAGTTTTTGGTCCTAATAAAGTCCCATCAGCGTGTACCGTCGCATTATCCTTTTGAATAAACAACCTTTCAAGGTGCAACCCATTGTTGTTGCTGTATGCACCAACTGCTAGAACCTTCTGAGTATTGTATGTTCCCCACTCCCAGTCCTCCCCGTGGAAGTCGAATTCTGCCTGCCAGATAACATGATCCACAATCCACATGTCAGAGGGTGGAAGAGAAAAGATCATCAAGCAAAGAGATCCTTCTAAAGACACCTGGCAAATAGCTTGTGTCAGACTTAACTACTGAAACCCATGAACTAGTTCATACCATCGTGTCTCCATTGCCTCCACCACTTGCATCAAGAGAACCCCGCCAACGACCTTTAAGTTCAGCAAGTCCTGGAAGACTTATGTCCTCAGGAATAACCTCATTTGGAGCAGTACGATGCCCCTTTATTTCCTACATTTGTGCAAGTTATCAGATCCATAATTACATAAGGAAACCATGTGTCAAACAATGCTTGTGTTTTTATGCACATGAACCATGCAGATATAAAAGAATGAAGCACCTGCAGTAAAGCCTGAAGTGTTTCAGGATAGAGTCCAACAGATTGCAGATTCTGCATAAAAAGGTCCTGCAAAGAAAAACTTTCATCATTCGTCCTAGAAGACTGGGTACCTATGCACTTGAGAACAATTAGGTCTGAAGAACCAAGTAAATGCTTTGGAACAACATTCATGAGTCTCGGTGATCAAAGCACAAAGTGATGGCAAAGTCAGAAGCAAACCTTAGATCTCAAGCGAACAACAGGATCTGTGCTTCGCGAGAGGAGTCTTGCCAATGGGAGCATCTCGGCAACCTCAGCTCGAGGAACTTCAAGTCTCATCCTCCACCTTCCCATGGAAGATATGACACTTCCCAGATGACCAGTCATCACTCGTTCAAACAAGGCGGCACCCTTGTCCTTCCCTAACAGGCTCCGGTCGCGAGTGCCAGGTAGCACATACTCCCCTTGAAGCTCGTAATAGCTATTCACTTGTTCCAGAACAGTTTTTTCAATGGTGATCTAAACATGCGTATCAGAAAAATATCAAAAGATAATTGTGTCAATATCTCATTTAAGATGTGTTTGGAAAAGGGGAACTATTGTATATTTCACCAATCTATACACCAAAGCACTAAAACTTAAATCAAACTACAGTTTACAGACGTGTTTCACAATACTATACAATCTAGTACTGTTCAGACTTGACAACTAAGTGATGGTCGTCCAGCATCACACTGGCAGTGTAGGGCCCTAACCCAACCACAAAAGGGGGAAATGTCCAGATGCTATGACTCAAGAAGGAAGGGATAAATGCCAGGTAACGAGACATTTAATTTATACTTACAACATCTCCGGTCCATCTGGCAGCCACATCTAGAGCTTCACCTAGAATGCCACTGAACTTCGGATGAAGCACAGATAACAAGCCATGGCCCCTTCTTTTCTGAAAATTAAGCTGAATTTCAGCCTGAAACAAAAAGAAAAGAATAGTTTAAATTCATAAATCATGCCACTACATGACAAAGACTAGCAGTAAAAAAATTAAAAATAGAATCACCTGGTCAGACGAAACAATAATGCTTACCTTTTGGATGGTTCCTCGTAGTGATGCCAACTCCAGTTCATCTAAGGGAAAATTTCGGACCTGCAAGCAATGAAGGACAGCAAGTGACAAAGTCTGAAGAAATTCGTTTGAAAACAATTAACAATATCAAGACGGAATCATAATCAAAGCCTGCCTCCAGAAACCATAGTATCTAGAGATACCTCCAAGGTTGCAGAATGCATTGGCAGGAAACACATATTGACTTTCAGCTGGCCCTTCTGGAGGGAAAAAGACAATAACTTTCCATTTTGGGAAGTTTCCTCAAGAATGGGCCGTATTGGCCCAACAACTTCCACTGCTAGACTTTCGTCTGGTCTACCCGTGGCATCCAACTGCAACCTCACAGAAAACTGACGTCAGCATACAGATATAAAGCACAAAGAGGCAAACAAGAAACAGATGATCCCATTCACCTAGTCCAGGTGTCCTTTTAGACAATAGACATAGATATTATCCACACAGAAAAAAGTAAACAGGCTTCAAGAATCAAGAGAAGGAACCTCAACAGAATGCTGAGGCCAGGGGGACGCTTTTGTCCAGATTCAAAATGAGGCCTAACGACAGAGAACATCTCATATACACTTGTAAGACGACAGAAATTTCAGTTGTTACCTTGATATGGTCACTAGAAATGCTGAACTGACCAGATAGCTGAGGAGCCAGCATCAACTGATTCAATCTGAGACCCGATACTGAAACTTCTCCAACAAGACTTTCTCTGAACCCTCCTAAACCTACATGTTGCGCACTCTTAGAAGAAAGATTTTCCTCCGCAGGAATGCCAGGCTTCTCAATTTTTCCCTGAAACTTTATCTTGCCCGTCGCTTTCAAATGTGTTGGTCGTGGAGAGTCAAAAGGATAAGAAGAGACCAAGCTGAAAAACTCAAAACCACGCATTCGCAAATCTACTTCAACTCCTTCAACTGTAAAGGGCATAGAAGTATTTGCAGAAGACTCTTCTCTTCCATGATAGTCGTCAGGATAACAGGTCTGAACTTTTGAAAGTAAATCAAAAGCAACAGATGAAGAATTGATTTTTATATAATCATGAGAGATCACAATGTCCCCTCGAGCATCAACAAATGACCCTTCAGCTTTAGGTGCAATCCACTTGATGTCAAACCTCCTAATAGAGGCCAATCATCAGCAACTTTGAACAAGTGTAACTAATTAACTAAACTGGAAAGCAAGAACAAGAAAGCAATGTGCATGAAGCTTACGGCCTCAAAAGTGATCCCGAAAGCTTTGTCTCTCCAGTTAGTTCACCTAACTTCAGTGGCATAAGTTGAAGATAACCAGGCATATAGCGGTCCAAAATTTTATCGGAAGACAAATTTCCCGAAAAATTCACATCAATTGCCTTATCATCCACCTCACCCTGAAGGAGAATGATCGTCTGGGTCAGAAAAAGGGAAAGCTATCCATCCCATGTCCAGAAACAACGAGCTAAAAACAGCAATCCGCACATCAAATATGATTAGAACATATAAAAGGGTGAATGAAACCAATGATCCAAGACGCAATGACTACACTAAATTTTGACTCTAAGATTTAAAAAAATGTAATCAGCCCATAAATCTGCACAAATTGGCTAGGGATATCAAACAGATGATAGAGATTTCTTTAGCTCGAACTTATATTTTATGGCATCCATTCAAGTTTCACCACCATGCCTGTCATAAAGAGTTGTATAAAAGCATGAACTTAGTTCACAATCCAGCTACAAAGTAGGAGAACCAAAGAAAGTTATGGTACATCTCCACCATAGGATCATCAATTTATTATCTTTAGGAGAAAATTCTGCTATCAAAACTCTATCGGGGCTATGAAGCAACAAGCAAAGGTCAATCAAATAGAGATAGAAAATGATAGTTTCTCCATGAGTATCCATCTTGCGCCTCCCTGTTCAACCAAACTAGACCAAGTATGGGGCAGTGATAGGTGTTGTCCATAAAAAGAGCAAGCGGATATAGTTATTAGTCATCATACCCTCCTTGCAACCATCCACTTTGTTTATAAATTATTTGGTGAAGATATAGTGCATATAAGGGAACTATTACAACGAAAAAGAATCAAAAGAACATCCACAATATGATGTATTGGAAAGTGAAGCAAGACATTACGAAAAACAAAAGAAAATAATGAACCTAGAAAGCACTCGCACAATACTGTACGCAATCCATTATTTAAGGGCTCAATAAAACAGCGAAATTATACAACTCAGGATCTGGACCATCAAATTTCATTTCTTTATGGACGAAATTCTAAAACCAAACAACCCCAAAGGAATTGCCTAGTAGTAACAAGGGATGCCAAACATCCAACTCATCTTGGGTTACAAACTTAGACCAACATTACCTGTACAATAAAAAAATCGAACCTATTGCAAGAGGTACAAACCAGGAATCATAATGCATCGAAGGAAACCCTATGCGGTCACATCTTAACACAATCAGTCACTCAAATTCAAAAAGTAAGGGACGATAATTAAAACCCAGAATGCTATACAGCTCTGCCAGTAAAACACGAAACAATAGGTAACAGCTCACATGTCAGTGTCTTAACACAGTCAGTCACTCAAATTCAAAAAGTAAGGGACGATAATTAAAACCCAGAATGCTATACAGCTCTGCCAGTAAAACACGAAACAATAAATAACAGCACACATGTCATTGGCTGTCTGCCATACAGAAGGAACTAACCTCTGGGCATATCCATGCATTGCCTGCGCCTCGAATCTCTCCGCCATCTACAAGGCTAGCTCTGATCCCATATAAATCAGCCACCTATTACATAGGTGAAAGTCCATCTGAACAACCAAGCCAACTGGGAACCAATAACCATATGCACCAGAAATACACAACTATAAGCTCAAGAAGAGTCATAAATAAAACCTACACAGTTATCCGTATTGAATGTGAAATTAGCCGATACATATGACAATGGAACACGGTCAAATGCAGCCACAGCTCCAGCCTCTTTACATTTTAGCATTGCTTCAGATGCAGCGGATATGGGGACATCTAAGCCTGAATGGGATATCTTTCTCGAGACCATTCCACTTCCAACAAATACAGGAGCATCTAGGGGACCTTGCATGTTAAATACAGCTGTTACAGAGCCTGCCACCTGTATTGAGGAACAAATCCAAATTAACTTCAAAAAGAAATGAAAAGCTCATCCAATCATGCTTTATAATCTTATTATGTGCAAGATAGAATCTACTTGACTGGTTTAATTCAAAAACTCAACAGCCCAACACTCTGCAAGTATGCAACAACCCAAACACTATAACTACATAAGTGCTTCTTCTTTTTGTATTATAATAATTTATTCTGACAAGCAGGCAACGAAGAAAACATCACTAGATCTTGCAAAGAAAAAAAGGTACCAGCAAAGGCTTGAAGAAATAACCTACTGAGCATGTATGTCACTTCACAAAATTAAGATGTACTGACCGGAAATACTAGAGGTCGCATCTTAAAAGTTTTCATCAGTGCATTAACTTCAACAGATGGAACCTGATAAGCAAACAACACGTGCCGGAGTTAGTTGGATAACAAAATAGCACAACATGTGGCAAGAATATTAAACAAGTCTATTGAGCTCAGAGAATCATTTCACAATCTTGAGTCATATTCTGTCCACACAGAACAAACTTGAACACTAAATCACACTAAGAACTATGATTATGCATTTGCGCAAAAAAAAAAACAAAGATTAAGCCCTTTAGAATCTCTTTTGCAGTTGTAAGACCCCAAATTCACTGTCAGCATTTATGACTCATGTTATTCTTTAAGATGAATTACATTATGGCATCCTCTCCTGTTTCACAATCTACCCTTCAATCTATAATCAGCTACATGTTGGCAAGAGGTGAGCCATGATGATTCATGAGTAGAGTTCAGTCAAGCTGTTTCACAATATCAATTAGGACTGTAGGAGTACACAGAAAATATCTATATCATAATATTTCCTTTTGGAACAAAGTCAACTTCCCCTGATACTCTATAATACAGAAGCTTATAATGGGGAATTTATATAAATAAAAAATCCTACACAATAGGAAAGTCATCACTGTATCAATTACAAGTAAAAATTTAGTGAAGACCAACAGAATATTAGTGATTCTGCTGCTAATGCTGATTCATTCTTAAACTTAGTAGGCCCAATAGTTTCAGTCATCAATTATTGATTAAGAATTCAAAAAATAAACCCATTATAATAACACAGTGAAGATTCCCCTTCCAATTTAATAAAGGGTCAAGCACTTGATTATAGAGAAAACAGGAAAGAGATAAAACACAGCAGACTTCAATGCCTTGATAAATGCAATGTCAGATTCTACCTGGCACATGATATGAAACTCTCCTTCCTCTGGATGAATTCCAAAATCTCCTGAAGCTTCTAAAGGAACATTGCCAAACCAGCCACTAGCATTATGCAAGAAAATTCTTTGACCACGGAAACATAAACTGGCTGCTATGTCCTGTAAAATGCTGAGTAATCAGAGGCAAGGATTTGAAACCTTAGGATGATGAATGCTTCTGGTCCCAACTTTTCTGAGAGATAATACTGTTTCTGAATAAAATGAGGAAAAATAAATCGTAATACACCCTACCTCGGAAAATCTTTGATTTTTGGTCATTATAAGTTACAGGATGTGAAGAGAAGCCAAGGATCATAAAACCTCGCAATAAAGACAAATGAATATATGAAATGCTCATAGAACTTACAGAAAATGAAGATGGGGAATCAAATATTTGAAATGCTAATCCTGTCACATTAATCTGTCCATGAAGATTAGGAAATGTTTCTCCTCTAGACATACACAAGTGCACCTGGAACCAGCAACAGTGTAAAGATCTCAGAATGCTATCAAAAAAACTTCCTCAATGCAAAAGAAATAAATGTATAAATCATAATCAATAAATTCAAAAGTAATAGTAAAACATCTATGCTTTCTCTCATATGAAAGATAGACACTTTCACGAACTCAATCCAAGTCCTTAAAACTTGCTGATAGAAACCAAGGCTCTACAGACACAACAATGCTCCAAGTGAAGTCGAATGGCGGAGCCTGAAAATTACTCAACTAAAACTTAACCACATGCAGCGACAATAAATTTACAAGCATAAATTTACTGCCCAAGCAAAAGTGGAAATATCATAGTTTCTTTGACAGTAAGCAGCTCAATACATAAAATTAGCTAAACAAAGTCAGAAGCCTAGTTAACCGTAATTGAACAAAAAATGGATCCAGATCACTTGAGTGGTGGACACATATGCATACCAACATGAGTCAAAAATAGAGCTCAAACGTGTGGGATGTCAAGACAGAGAAAGAAGGGAAGTGTCACGTAAAGCATCCTCCGTCCATACCAAAGAAAATACAGTTTACTTGGGGGACCCTTGAAGAAACTTCTCATTGAAAGAGACATAACTAAATCCTCAGGGCAAGTAAATGTCGCAATTTGTTTCACTTGGACTCAGTTCAGATATATAAATGACACAGCAATGGCTATCACTCTAAGCACACAAATTACCTGCATCAAACATGCACATCTGAAAAGCACTGGTATTATAAAATTCAAGCAAATTGTTAGAAACAGAATCAATAACAAGTTAGAAAAGCACCTCACCAGAGGCTCTTCCATTGGACCAGCTGATTGGAATTTCTAAGATCCTTTCAAAAAGCTGCAGAAATGAAAGATGAAACTCAGGTGCGCGTTCCAAATCTCAAATTTAGGGATAAAACGCCTTATCAAAAGCCAATGAGAAACGTACAGGAGCAAAAAGGTCTGAAATTTTTAAATTGGCATGCCATTTCTGCTCAATATTGTCAACAAACACGTCAACAGCCAACCAGCCACCGTCTTCAGAAATTGCATCAGTGTTCCACATCTTACAATTGCCACTTAACTGAACATGCACTCGTGCATAGTGGTTTTGGAATTTCACATGTCCACTGGCATTCTCCATCTCTCTTTAAAAAAAACAAGATGAAGAAGAAACATTAATGCAAATTGATCCATAGGATGGATAACAAAGATGCAAAGTACGAAAGTAAGAATTGCATATGTACTTGAAAACTCAAAATCATAATTCCCATATACTTGCAACTTGCAAGAGAAGGCAACAAGATAACATTTAAAACCCATTTTAACACAAAACCCACGTGACATTCTGCCAATTCCACTAAAAGGGCATAGATACTTTAACAGATAGGTCACAATGCAAAAGAAATTTCATTGAATTGCACAAAAGCACACGTAGCCATGTTCGTGCTCCTTACCTAGGTTCTCGATCTCCGTAAGCCATTAGCATAAGAGTTCCCCCCTTAAAAATAATAGAATCTAGGTAAACAGGAAGCTTCTTCTCAATTCCTTCAGCATGCACAATATCTACTTCATCAGCAAGTTCTGCCACTATGTCTTCGAATGTTGGACCAACACCTGACTTTGACTTTGACTTCGCCATGGGGCTAACAAAAGGATTGTTTGAGAAATTCACAATGTTTCTTGAGGCATAAGGCAATGCAGACTTCAAATTCACTGGCTTAACTGGAACTGGACGTAAAACTGACGATTCAGTCTCAGGCTTTTCAGAAGTCGAATTCTGAGATGCAGGAGGACCACTGTAAATCTTGTACAGATCATTATTGTTCTGTCCAACTATACCGACATTCACTAAATCTTCCTTATCTAAAATGCCGGTTCTTGTGCTCCCCAGACTGTGACCAACGACAGGGTACTTATTACTCAACTTTCCTATTGCATTCAGTCTACTTAAAGTCATCAGAAATGGATCTCGGAAGAGGTCAAAGTCATCTAGTTGCCCTATAATACTTTTTCTCTCGGCATAAGGCTCAATCCCTGAATCACCATTCCCATCAACGTTTTTATTTTTATCTGTAAGATATTGATTCCCACTATTCACATCAATATCACTACTAACAGCCTTGCTTGGCGCCAAAATGTTCTCAAAATCCACTGTATCACAGCCACCCCCACGTGAATGAGATGGATCATCAAACTTGCCATTTGAGAGACCTTGGAAATAGGCAATCGTTGCAGATGCACTACGTTCCAGGATTTTCCTTTTGGCACTAATACCAGCAACAGTGCTGTCAATACCGTTGGATTTCCTCTTTTTAAACTTTCTTCTGGGTCCATTGATGACTCGGTTCCATAATTCAAGACTTGAACTTCTACCAAATGATTTCTCGAGATCAGCATGCTTCACATCATAATCAACACTAGTGTCGGCACAATGATGGTCTCTCCAGTGCATCTTATCATCTACACAGGAAAAAGATTCAGGGCTAGTTGTATCTGACAAAGGAGTTGGGTCATGATTCACCACACCATTTTCAGCCCGAGTAGAATCATGCTCAAGAACAAGATAACCTTTCTCTGCTGCTTCCTTAGCATTATTATCCCTTTCTCTAGCCCACTGAGCAGCTAATTCCTCCCTAGCAAGCCTCCTAGCCTTTGTACGGTAATCAATTCCCTCCTCGGTGGATAAGTGTCGTTCGAGACCACCTTCAGTAGAGGGGATGCCCAACCAGGTGTAATCTTTCTTTTGCACGACCAGTAAAGTAGGATGAGACAGTACAGCATCAATTACAATCTTCCCCCTACTCAAACTTGCAAATGGGCGAAGACGAAGCTTCATAGTGGGTACCTCACCACATGAAAATTCAGTAGAATGAGGCCCAATCGAGCAGGACTCCAAAGTAATGCTTAAAGGAGAAACTCCTCGAACCTTACCAAAACTTACATCTCGTTGGATGTACTCACTCACCATAGAGCAAACAGAAGGCAAAAGTTTGGCCTCTATATAACGCTTGGCTTTGTTTTGCCCATACCATACCAACAAGCAAACCCCAGATATCACAACTACGAGAGCTGAACATCTCACTAGGAGCAAGCCTTCTTGCCACAAAGGAGTCAAGGACCTCACAAAGGCTTTACTTCTAGTTAAAGGCTCTGCCACAAAGTCCACTTTCAAGCCATTTCTAGATCCAATTGCCTTCCTCAGCAACTCTACATTTCTACCGCAAAAATCTGAAAACCTAACAGCCTGTGCTTTCCAATCATCTTGCCTTTTGGCACGAAGAACCTTATCACGAGGCCGCCTCCGTTTCCTAAACCCCACCAAATATGGTAAACAGACATTGTTTCGAACCTTTAGAGGTCCAGAAACTGAAATCCCAATAAATGGGGAACGGAGTTGCACGCTCATTAGTGTCCCTTCCCGACTTCTCCACAGAATCGATGCTCATCTGCTGACTGCTGGGGACAAAGACATTAATCTTAGCCCCCCGCAACCATTCACACCACTGAAGTTCATGAAAGCATCTTCTCTACCTAAGCAAATAAGAAAAGGATGGAAGACATGAGTAAAAAAGAAACGAAACTGAAAGATTGAAATATGCAATTGAAACGAAACCAAGCAAATTAATTACTAACAATTGTACACGGAATCGTGTGTGAGAATCTACTCTTATTGGCGGTGATCTCTCTTTTCTGATTGCATGGAACAATTTTAATCGTTAAGCTGCAAGAAGCCAAGAACCCTAAGAACTCAAAAGGGGAATTGTAACAACAGAAGAGGAAGAGTTTAGATAGAAAACTCGAATTGATGCAGAATGAATTTTTGTTTTGAGTTGGGTCACAAACTCACAATGGCTCAACTGGACCCGAGAAGAATGCTGCTTGATCGAGCCCACACGAGCTGCAAACCGGATTTTATATAAATGACTAAACGACAACGTTTCAGGAAGCTTGGCTTCTTCCTCCTTAGAGCTAACCAGCAAGTTTTTGGCCCATCTTCATTTAAGAATTTGATTGCTTAACATTAGGTAACAAATCCATATGCAAGCCCACCCACCCGTCCAACCCGACTCAATATACCCGTATTTATCGCTAAAACAAAGATTTTGGATTGGATGAGGGTTTTTTTTTATAACCCGCTTCTTTTGGGTTGTGTTGGGATTTAGAATTACACAACCCGTAGAACCCGACCCAACCCGTATTCCAAATATTGGTATGAGTTCATATCCACAAAATATTTATGTCGTGTATAGCCATACTTATTAGAAAATTAAGATATTTCGCCATATCTTTTTCTCATGGTCTCCCTATCTAATGCATTTTTCGACTTAAAGTTTAGACATAAATTTAATATAACTATGATTCACGTAATCATTTTTCTTGTGTACAATTTTAATAGAATAACATAATATGGATGCGTACGTTTATAACCTTTTTAGCCTTTTTTAACAAATGTCGTAAAAAAACTAAACTTATGTTGAAGTAAATTGCATTTTATTAAATTCAAACAACATTTGTGAATGTTGATACCTTTCACCTCGGTTTATTGTTTGAAATTTTAATTAGTTATAAAATATTTTTATGACGTAGAAAAATTACATATTTTGTGTTGGGTTGGGTTTTTACTTAAAATTTCGCTAACCCGATCCAACCCAATTAAAAACAAACCATAGAGTTTAATTTTTTATTTTTTTTAGTTTAATATTTTTCAAACTGTAGTGCATGGGTCGGGTGATTAAAATGGTTAAACCCAGACCACCCGACCCATATACGCCCCTACTGGCTACTACTTAGCATGCTATTCGTTTTGAATTTTGATGCCTTCACCAATTGCACGACATTTTCTCCGAGGATTTTATTTTCCCTGAGAATATTGCAGAATTGAAAGTTGATCTACGAATTGGAAATTTTGGAAGGCTACCAAATAACTAGCGTGCTGTTTGGATGAAATATGCTTGAGAGTTTAGATGTTCTAGCTTGATAATAACACCATTAGCACGTGTTTCCTATAAGTAACAATTGAAACTAGAAGAGCGAACACAAAGCCCGCAATAGTAACGTACAACAGTTTCTATACAGCAAACAACCAACTCTCAAATCTTAATCCCTTATGTCAAAACAAAGCTTAGCTTCATCCCATGGACCATTGATCTCAAACTTGTACTCCTGGATTCTTATCAGCCAGCAAGGACAAACGACGCTGACAAACACCAACAAACCCAACAACACTACAAACAGCAGCTTGTGCAGCGCATACACGAGGCTGAGCGTCAAGGCCATCAACCCACAGGAGAAGGCAAGGTGAAGTGTGAAAGAACACTTCTTGATGCAGTAAGTGACGAATGGGGCAAACAGGAAGTCTTGCATAGAGAACAGCATGACAGCAAACACGTGAAGCCTTGACGGAAGTCGGGAGGCAATAAATACTGAAGCAACCACAGAAGCATGACAGCAAACACGTGAAGCCTTGACGGAAGTCGGGAGGCAATAAATACTGAAGCAACCACAGAAGCATTTAAGCTCACACAACTGGTCAAGCTTGGAGCTGTGAATAAGGCTCCTCCTGGAACCCCTATGGGACATCCTGAATAGTCATGGAGGAAGAGATGGAGAATAATAAGTGAAGCCTTGACGGAAGTCGGGAGGCAATAAATACTGAAGCAACCACAGAAGCATTTAAGCTCACACAACTGGTCAAGCTTGGAGCTGTGAATAAGGCTCCTCCTGTAATGTCTCCTGCTGCAGAGACAACGCCGCCAGTCCCTCCCCTTTGGCGTAGTGATCGTAGCATGACAGCAAACACGTGAAGCCTTGACGGAAGTCGGGAGGCAATAAATACTGAAGCAACCACAGAAGCATTTAAGCTCACACAACTGGTCAAGCTTGGAGCTGTGAATAAGGCTCCTCCTGGAACCCCTATGGGACATCCTGAATAGTCATGGAGGAAGAGATGGAGAATAATAAGTGAAACTGTCACTGCCAGGATCGTGTCCGAGCTTATCGACCTAGTCAGGGTGTTGTATATAGGCGACAGCACATATAATCCCGTAGTGAAGAACGCAATGTTGAGGAGATAGTGGAAGAACAGACGGAGCGAAGACATTTCTCTGGTTAGTAGCAGAATGACGAAGCCTGAAGCCAGAAGACAGACATCGAGAAGCAGCAGGGAATACTCGTCCAGGGTAGATTGGAGGCTGTGGGTCCATAGCAAGATGACAAGTGAAACAATGCAGAGGTACTGAGAGATGGAAACAGAGTCCAAGATCACCTTCGCTATGTCCCTTTTCACGACATTGGCATTCATCACCATATCTTCGAGAAACGACTCATCGGTGTGATTGTCATCGAATCCAGGTTGCATTCCTCCATATGCCACCTTCCTCCACTTGGCACATGGAGGAGACAAGCTCTCATCGCTAATGCCTACATCCATTTGGACCCTGGGTTTTCCAAGAACATGCCAGTGACCAAGAACCTACTACCAATCTTCGGCTGAATCCAATGATTGAGAAAACCTGATCCAATCCATTTCACAACAAACCCTATCTATATTAAAAACTCGATCATATACGGTTTAGTAAACAGTAATGCACTTGAAATGTATAGCTAGCAAACACAGATTCATGGGACCTAATTATCACCATCTAAACTCCCCCTGCAGTACTACAGTATCCAACAGTAGTGGAGTTTTGTGAACAATTACTAGCTAGCTACACAAGATCAAAGATAGGCCAACTGCACTGTTCCATATGTCAACCAAAAAGAAGGGGCTAAAACTGAAAGAACAATGCATGAAAGGTATACTTTGAGGATGTATGGGAGGTATCATTACTCTAAATAGTCTTCTAACCCAAAACTCCAGCACCTAAACAAAATCACCCCACTGGATAAACAACAGATCACAAATTGATAAACTTGATTAGCCAACTCTAAAATCAGTATTACCGACTACCACAAAGAATACAGAAAGTGAAGGAACTAGCAGGAACAGAGGGGAAACACAGCAGGGGAAGTTGTAGGCGATGATTGTTTATAGAGGATGCCAGAGGACAAGAGTTGAATGGAAGCATCATTCCGGAAAGGAGCTTACAGGAATTTCATATGTGAGGTGGAAGAACAGAACGACAGATAGAGAAGCTTGCTGCTGTTTAGTACGGTGACCAGAAGCTTCGAACCCAGAGGAGTTGTTGGGCAAATCGCCGATCTCAACGTCTGCGGTCTGCTTCTGTCTCTTCGTCGTTGACGGGTCGATCGGCGGAGGAAATAGTTTGCCCTCAGGCCTCATTCAACGAGGGAATTCGGAGAGAGAGGTGAGTTGCCCATCTGATCGCCGCCGGAAAGAGGAACTAGTAACAAAAACCCAAAAACACCAGTTACGGTAAGAGGAACCCAGTAACAAATTGGAGGAATAGAAGTGTTGTTCGAAGACTCACCGAGATGCCATGGCGCAGAGACCACCCACTTCTCCCGAATCGGCTAAGCACTTACTGAATGGACAACGAAGCAAGGAGAAGAATCAAAATCTGAGAAACCGTCAAATCCGGCGAAGAGTTGCATTACCCAAATGCACCAACGGGGAAAGCTTGTATCTCCAATGAAGAGTTGCTGTTGATGATTTGGATCGTTCGCCGGCGAAGGAAGGTAGGGTAGGTTTTGCAATGGAGAATTGGAGTCACAACTCACAACGAAGAGGTTGCAGGGTTCGAATGAAATCTGGGATTCTAGTTCGTCGAACCCTCGGTTATTTCAGAAGAGTGTCAAAACGGCATGGTTCGGACTACAAACGGAGAGTATTAGCACATAGTTTCCGCTAAACTACAAACAGTTTTAAGTTTTAACACAAGGTTGTCAAACCGGATTAAGTCGTCAAACCAGTTTGACAAGGGGTTTGAGGTTTAATGGTCGGATCGACGTTCAACTGGATTAAGTCGATTTTGACAAAATATATAGGTAGTTAATGTAGGAGAGACACCTAATAAATGATGCATATATATATATGGTGGCGTCTTCGGTGCACTCACTTTTTTAGGTGCATTCAGTGCACTCGCTTCATAATCGTCATTTTAAACATGTGATTATGTCAAAATGATGTCAATCATCACTTATGATGTGATGGACAATAACGCACATGAATTTGCACAAAAACCATTGAAGATTTACTTTAATTTGAAGGATTTAGAGTTTAGAGATTTAGGGTTAGAGTTAGAGTTTACAATTTAGGGTTTAGGGATAGAACTCAAAATTGGAGGTCTATGGCTTAGGGTAATCCGCTAATTAGTTGTTATCATATGTTATATCATCATATTACACTAATTCTACAAATTAAAATTTAAAATCCCACACCTTAAGACTAGTTTTGAGTAGGGTGCATTGAACGCACTCATTTTTGTGAGTGCACCGAAATAGTCACCATATATATATATATATATATATATAACATCATACAATCTCAAATTCTCAATACAACCTAAATTTATATAAATTATCAATCCTCACATTAAAACAATTAAGCAATTTACACAACAAAACATAATCAACTCCATCTATAACTGTTTATGTGGATATGAAAAAAGTACCCTTTGTTAAAAAAAATTCATCTATCAACCTGTCGCATTCCAGTCTAATTAACAACTACAACAAGTGATCAATTTGAGAACCCAACAAAACATCTATCTTCCTTTCTCCTCTACTCTCTCTATCTCAAGAGGAAGAAAAACCCACCGCTAAGAAATACCTAACTGAAGCACCGGAGACCGGAATGGCCGATTGGGGGGAGTTGGCGTCGAGGTGGCGGTGCGATGCGGCTTTGAGGCGGCGGCCGGGGTGAAGCGTCGAGGTGCGGGGAGCTGACGTCGAGGCGGTGGCCGGCAAGCTGTGTCGAGAAGCGGGGAGCTGGCATCGAGACGGGAGAGGCGCCGATGTTGGGGCCGGGATTTAACGTCGGCTGAAGGACGTGGAGACGAGAGCGACGACTCGGCTGCTACCTCGCTCGACGGAAGGGAGGGAGCCAGAGTTGGCTCTTTAGGGTTAGATGAGAAGATCGCAAAACGTCATCGTATCCATGATAGCCGGTAGCTAGATAAGTCCGGTCAGACCCCCGATTTTGACCGGTCTTGACCGACTTTGACCGGTTGTCGGCCAGCTCAAAATATGCATGTCTCTAGCCCCTTTTGTTTTCGGTTCCGGCCCGAACCCGGTTTGACAACTATGTTTTAACCTGAAACTTGAAACATAGAGTAAATTGCAAGTTTGTCCACTAGAATTACTTAAAAAGTTCACGTTTGCCATTAAAATTAATATATTTATTTCGTAGTCACTCAAATTTGGTTACTATTCGTTAGTATCCATTAACTTTAGCTGACGTGGCAGTCAACATTGAGAGTTGACTGTTAAGTAGGTGACGTGGAAATTAAAAAAAACTTTTAAAAATTCTACCTCAGTATCACAATAAATTAAAAAATAATTACAATCACAATAATAAAAAATGTAAAATGCAAAATTGGAAAACATTGGTGCTCGACATTGGTAAACTTTAACGTGTCATCATGTAAACTCTGTGTATAAAAGTTGCATCTCCATAGAATAGTTCTAACTCTTTCGGGGGCAGTTTGGCTAAGAGACTAACACTTTTACTATGGCTCGAATTAAAAAGTTTGAAGTTGAACCTTGCATACATCACCTGGTGCCACATGTCCAACTTATCTAGGTCTTCATTAGTTAACGCGGTGCACTTTAATGGAGAACCAATTTGAGGAGAATGTGGCCATGTTTAAAGGCCAAGTTTGTGTTAAACCAAATTGATAAGCAACATAGTGAGGGTTGTAGACTTCCACTTATGTGGAATTCTTAGAGGCAGATGGATTAATGAGGACATCCCTTGCTAGTATCCAACTTGACCATTGGCAGGAGAATCATTCATGAGCGTGAGAACCCTTTGGAGGTTTCTCATCAAAAGTGATAGTAAAATAGAATGGATCAAGGAGACGCTTTTCAAAGAGAATAAAATTCAATAGAGTTTTCATCTGGTAGAAGATAGAGGAGTAATGGATGAAGGTGTTGTTCAATGGTTTGACCAGTGAATAATATAAGTCATTGGAGGCAAGTTTGGATTTCATTTTATCTAGCTGTGGCAGAGTTTTGCAAAGTATTGAGAAGTAGGCCCACAACCATAGTGACACTAGCCATAAAGAACCCGGACCGTTGGGGATCACACCTATTTTGAGTTGGTGGACAAGTGTATGCATACCATGATAGAAATGATAGTGGATGATTACCGCCACATTGGTATGAATACACTCGAATGCAATATTTATGCAAGAGCTCTGAGATCTCTTGGCGTGATGTTGCATTGGTTGGCCAAACAATGAACCTATATAGCCAATAATGAATGAAACTGTGCAACTCCACTTCTGTAAGTGGAGCTTTGGAATATTTAGGAGACTCAATGTGCCAAAATTGATTGCGAAAAGATTGGAAGTTGGTGGAGCTTATTAGAGATGGTTGATTTGGAGCCAAAATGGATAAGCCTATAAAGAGGGTCGTGTCTAGCAATGTGACTGTCTTTCCCCCCAGAGGGAGAAAAAATAGTTAGACTCAATGGACCACAAGCACACTATTGCCTTGAACTACTGATGATCCGGGTTTGGTATCTTGGTAGATAAGGTGAGCAGTCGAGAAAGACATGCACTTTCCACATGTCTTTGGTGAGTGGCCGACATGCAAGTGGTCATATAATTCCTTGAGGAATGTATCTTTTGAAAGCCATGAACCCACAATTTGCATCCTTATGTTGAGTTTGTAGAGCTGTGTAGGTTGCATATAGGCTTTTTACAATGGAGTGTCACTTCCAAGTGGATAGCGGTCGAGGATAACACTAATTCTCGCCTTATTTTTGGTGATATAAGGACCAAAACAGCCTGTGTTGTCCTCTTTTATTTCAAGGTTTTTCATGTTCAATTCATCTTTATTAAGAGGAGCTTTGAATTATTCTTGATAGACAATTGAACCTTCTTACATCTCTTTCATCCCGACCTCATCCTTGTCTCTTTCATCTTTGAACAAGCTGGTTGGTCGCCAGAAAGATATCGAGAGTGATGGTGTTTGGGATTCAATAATTCAGCCTCATGTGTTTTTTTTTCCTTCATTCATCTTTCATGGAGATCTCTTGCCGCTATAGTTGTTTGATAAATTGCGACTGATTTGCCGCCAAATGATTTATCTTTTATGCTTCTCAACTTGCCTTTGGCGGTTGTCGCCGCTGTTGTTTTCATAAGCCGTCGCCGCCTCCAACCCACTTTGCCTCTCATTAAGCTTTAACAGTCTCTACAAAATAAATGTTTCCGCAAAAATTTGAACCCACATGCAAGAGCACTAACCAATAAGCCACGAGACCCCCTTATGCATTCTATTTTTAGAGCCCAACACTTAATCATCTCATTTATTGCCTATCCTACAACTCCATCCCAAGATACAAGCATTCACCCCATCTCCAAGCGATGTTCTTGCCCCAGACATATAAACCCGCAATGGGAGATGGGCTAACAAATTTCTCATCAAGCGCTACGCGCCATATACACCTCCAATGGAAGAACAACTATCAAAATCTTTGTCAAGCGCCAAACATTGTATGTATTCCAACTAGCACACAAATGGGGGGAGCGCAACCAATTGGGGGGACAAAGCGTCATCCAACTTGTAAAATTCATGTTCAGCCCTAATACATCCAATCAACAATTCAACTTCATGCAACTCTTCCTTTTTATGCTGAAGATCATAATATGTTTAATCTACTTCCTCGTGCAACGAATGCAACTCTAGACTTTTCACTTCAAGCTTCATGAGCTCTGCTTGAAGCACCTTTTTGAGGCAGAGCAATTCCCATTCTCTCAAACAAATCCTCCTACCTGTCAAAGAAATGTCCACTCTATAGATTTGAGTTTGCTTCTATTTAAATCTAGCTTCGTGTCACACTTGAGAAACTGATCTTTCAGCAAATCAATTACATATTCCACCTTTTAGCTAACCCTTGAAGAAGGAGTGTGAAAGGAGATAAGAGTGATGAGAACTTCTATCCATCTTTCTCTCCAATATATCATATTTACCTCCAATCTAGCATTTACAACTCACATCACCTTGATGTGACACCTCAACTCAGATTTCATCAAATGCCTCTTCATGCATCACATGGACCACCCCCTAACCTCATGACTTGCGCCACATAGGCTCGTCGCTGCCTTCGACTCACTTCCTCTCCCATTAAGCTTCAACAATCTTTAAAAAAAGAAACACTTTCACTCGAATTTGAACCGACATCTTGGATTCCACATGCAAAAGAGCTAACCCATACACCACTAGGCCCCCTTACACATCCTATTTGTAGTTCCCAACACTTAATCATCTCCTTGCTGCCTCTCCTACCCTACAACTTCCTCCCAAGATACAAGCATTCACCCCACCTTCGAACGGTGCTCCCGTCCTGAGCATATATTTTCTGAAAATTATAAAATACCATAAGAATAACTTTGGATTTTTAAAACAGTTTTCGCATAAGTTCAAAATCAGAGCTTCTTTTATGTTATGAAAAATCCAAACATAGACGTTAACACTTTTAATTTTTTCAAAAACCGAGCTTATAGAATACTCTTACAAAATTAAATTTATCAATATAATACTGTTACAAAATTTTATCCAAACATATTGTTATAATTTCATTAAAAATGTATTGTTATAACTTTATATATAAGAGTGATATAGGTTCTTACTTTTTGTGATTAAAGTACTATTTAAGAGATTCAAACACGAGACTTTCAAATTCTAAACTAGTGGTATTACTACTAGGTCAAGCCATGTTCATAACATATTGTTATAATTTGAATATATTGAATTTATACCCAGCACAAATGTTAGAACACGAAACAAAGTGGTAGGTGAGGACAATTAGTTTTATCATTTTCGGGTCCAAATTAAAATTCATTCGCTAATCTCTACCAACAATTTGAATTAATGTTAGCTGTTGGTTTGTGATAAATTGCACCAATAATTTGATTTTTTTTTTATGGAAACCAATAATTTGATTAAAGGACACTTAATTGATCACCCAATTTAGCCAGACAATCAATGAATAAGCAAATGTGACCTATTAATAAAAATTCCCAGTGCATTTAATCATTGCCATATTTTTTTGCGGCCCAGATCAAAGCGGAGCTCCAACCGTACAACGTTGTATAGTGGTTTTGGTAATTTGTCCCTTCTAAATGTATCATAATGGCTTGTTATATATGAACTGTAGCAACCAACGAACAAGTTCTGTTCTGCCTTCGGCTTTGTGCTCCTTTTATGTGAAAAGAAACCAATGTAATGAAGTTTTCATGGGAGGGGAAGTGGTTGCTCCATTTCCATTATTTTGGATGTTCATAGATACATAATGGCTACGAAAGCCAACTATGTACATTTCACTTTTGTGGCATGATGACCATATTCTATACTCTATGATCCCACAATTGATGAACTTGAAGGAGAAGTGAAGGATGCTATACCTTTCTTCCCGGTTCGTATTATTCCGGCCAATTGGGTTTTAACATTCACCATTGAATTCACCAGTTCAATTAATCCAATTCATGAATCTAATTCATTTGTTCCTTAATTCTTATGATTCCAAATTATAAAGTGATAATATGATTGAGGGCATCTATTGTCCTTCCCAAGTTTTAGGTTCATTGAAATGTGATAAATCTCCTAAATTTGAAACTAAATGATATCTCAAACTTTTGTAATCGCCAATGTTCGATTTAGAATTCAAGAATTAAACTTATGTGGGCACAAACAAACAAACAAACATGAGCTATAATTAGGTAAAGCATAGCATTTGGTATATTTGGTTTAAAAAATTATCGTCAATAATTGACAACCTTTTTTTGTCGCCATGATATGTAAAAGGAAGGTGATGAGCGCAGAAGAATTATATTGCAGATACCATGTGTAAACCCAGCTTAACACCATGTTCTGCCAAAAATTAGTGGGGGAATTGCGTCAAATAAACAAAACCTGGCAATTTTGTATTACTGGTAACCGATGCCTGAATGCTGAATTGCTGATGGTATATAAATTAATTTTGAGTGGTTAATTAACTTCTTGATGATGGCAGCATAGCACAAATACATAAGCCTGTATATAATGCAATCACAATTATATATCAATCAATTTTTTCCTCCGGTTTTGATTGGTGTATTATCCATTGAATATATTATAGTATTTGAATATTGATATCTTATTGGTATGCTATCGATTAAATCACAATTTTACCAATTTGAAATACAACTTGCTAATTTGTACTGTACAATGTGCAGCGT